ACTGGCGATCTACTTCCGAAAAAGCAGCCATAGAAAACCCCGTGGAAAACAGTTCTTCTCTGACACACGGGGTTGGCATGAGTCGGAATCAAACTGATGGCAAGTGGTGGTGATGGTGGTAGTGGAATATTCTCCTAGGGGATGTTTTCTGAGGTTCTGGTGGGAGGAGAGGTGACAGCTATTGCAGGTCTCCCCTGCCTGTAGCCTCCCCTCCTATGCCAGGCGCTCAGGAAGACCCTGCCCATTCCTGTCTGCCCTCTCTCCAGCCTTTCTTGTGTCCCCTCCTTGTTTCACTCCCTGAAGGAGCTGAGAAAATCTCCCTTCGCCCACAGAGCCTTCACCTATGCTGTTCCCTCTCCCTGGAACACTCTTTTCCACCTTCCCCCTTCACTTAACTGACTCCTTCAAAACTTGGCCTAGATGTATGTCCCTTCTGCGAGGAAGCCACCCTGGGCTTCCTTTCCCCAGAAGCCCCATCACAGTGTGGATATACCCTATCAAAAAGGTAGAATAGCATAGCAGTTAAGAGTCCAGGGTTTAAATCACAGACCAGTCAGTCAACAGCAGTTGTTGCCTCTATCAAATGGGAATAATAAATGTAAATTATTATTTATGTCAGTCATAGTGTTTAACGATCTGCTTCCTTGAATGGCTCTTCCACTGGCCTGTGAGGGCAGGGGCTATGTCTGTCTTGCTCACAAGAGTCTTCCTAGAGGTGATTATTCGTAATTGTTAAGTTAATGGATGGCCACATTACAATAATTCATTGACCTCATAGGCAAATGACTTTTTTGAACTGAAACCCAGCTCCCTGGTCTCTATTTTTGATTGGAGAGCTAGAGCTAGATCCATTGATCGATATTTATAGATAGATAGATAGAGATGATCCCCTGTGTTTTTTTTCCTGGGTCTTGGTTGGGTGAAGGGTGGGAGAGAGGCAGACAGAGCCAGAAAGGGCCCAGTCTCAGCCCTACCTGTCTGGATATGCATCCAGATTACATAGCCCTGGACACAGGACCCAATCAAGCTGTGCCTCAGCTTCTCCCTGCGCATATAACCTGAATAAATTGGGGTCTTCATGTGCCCCCTTCTGGTCTATCTCTGCCTAGTGTTCCAGTCAAAAAGAACACAAATTTGACTCCAAAAGCCTTGGGAAAAAAATCTGTTAAGTATTTACCGTCAAGGCAGAATAAGGGGAGATTTTTACCTACAATACCCAAATTTCCTAAAATTTAGACACCTTTTTTTCCAGGGTTCCATGTGACCTGGAAGTTGCCCCTCACAAATTCTTCTCTGCCTGTCGCCAAATTTTAGTCCACCTTCTACCATCCTTCTGAGGTGAGCTTGGTCTACAAGTAGTCATAGACTTTGGGTACACATGACCCTTAGGTGCTGCAAACTTCATTCTGTGGAGAGAGGTATGGCAGAATGAGGCCAGAGCAAGGCTCCCTAAAGCGCAGAGACCCCATTGCTCAGGACTACCGGTCTAAGGGACTAAGATGTCATCTCCACTTTCACTGCTTCCTGGACTTCCTCTGCTCCCCTTAATCATCTGGAACATTGCTCTCTGAACCCTGACCAGGGCCACTGGGACCTGTGCCAAGGGCAGTGAATGGCTTGCTTCCCTGGGCCTCTGATTCACCCTCAACCAGAATCTCCTCATCCCTCTGCCAGGCCTCCATCACACCTGTGGTTCTGGGGTTGTCTCACCCAGCTGTCTGTCCTATTACACCCCCTAAGAAGCCTTTTGTGTTCCCAAGGGGGCAGGGTCATTTTGAATGGGATGCTAGACTGCCAGGGAGTGACAGCTCCCCGGCATCAGGCTCAGCTGCGATGTCAGAGATGTGCTCTGCCTCTGGGCTGGAGAAGGAAGTAAGTGCCTGGGTGGGCCCCATTGCATCAGCCTTCACCACTCCGGATGCAGCATGGACCCCTAATTGCCCATGGTGACTTTGTTTCCCTGCCTCTGTCTCCTCATTCAGGTCCCTGAGTAGTGCAAACACTTTGTGCTCGACTGCTAACCTAAATGCTGGTTTCAGACCTACACAGTGGCACCACGGAAGAAAGGCCTGGCTATCTGCATCCATAAAGATTACAGCCAGGAAAATGCTATGGAGCAGTTCTACCCTGTAACACATGGCGTTGCCATGAGTCAGAATAAACTCTACAGCAATGAGTTTGATTTTTTTTTTTAATCTCTTCATTCCTTCTCAGCTCTGACCAGTCTCCAAGAGACATCTTTCTAAAGTCCAGCTCTGACCAGATATCTCCCCGGCTCACAGACCTCCCATGGCTTCCCATGGCCTACAAGAGAAACTCGAGCTCCTTAAGCTGGCCTTCAAGGCCTCTCTGGCTTTATCTCCCACAGTTCTCCCTTCACCATACTCCAGCCAAAGGGGACCTTCCATAGAACCTCCTTTGTCACTCCCACATTCATACCTTTACCCTTCTGGTTGCCTGAAATTCCCTATTTTCCTTTATTTGAGTCTTACACCCATAAAAACCCACTGCCATCAAGTCAACTCCAACTCATGGCGACCCTATGTGTTACAGAGTAGAACTGCTCCATAAGGTTTTCTTGACTGTAATCTTTATGAAATCAGATCACCAGGCCTTTCTTCCGCGGTGCCACTGGCTGGGTTCAAACCACCAACCTTTAGATAAGAAGACAAATGTAAACCATTTGCACCACCCAGGGACTTTTATTTGAGTCTTACTCATCTTTTTTTTTTTTTTCTTACTCATCTTTTGAGGCTACAGTAGTATCGCCTTTTTCAAGGAGATTTTCTCCACCAACCACAATCTCTCCCACCCTGGACTGAACCCCCTACCTTAACTTATCTATTTAGTGCTCATACTAGCCCTACGAGGTAGGGACTATTCTTTTCTGTTTTATAGATAAAAAACTAAAGCTCAGAAAGAGAACGAGATTTGTCCAAGGTCATACCACTGAAAGTGGTGACACATGAATTCAATCAATAAATACTTAGTAAGTACGTACGTACAACAGACACTGGAGCCAGAATGCCTGGTTGAAATCCCGATGCTGCCATTTGCTTCCTGTGTGACCTTAGGCTAGTCACTTACCTTCTCTGTGCATCAGTTTTCTCATCTGTAAAATGGGGATAATGACAGTACCTTCGTCATACATAGGGTTTTTGTCCTGAGGATGAAATGAATTAATCTGGGTAAAATGCAGGAGCTCCATACATGTCAACTGTTGTTGTTATTCTTCCACAAGTGGGTCAGGGCTGAGTCCATGGACGAGGCAGAATTAGAGCAGAGTGTAAATGATTATTTCTCAGCTCATAAATATTTTCTGAGAGCTGGCTCAGGCCACACCTGCCACTCCCAGTACGGGCCAGCTGCAGGAAAGGGGCACAGCTTGCTGACAAAAGGATTGGGCAAGAATGGAGGCTGTGGGTCCAGGTGGCACCCAGCAAGAGTGAGCCTGACTGTGGGCTGGCCCTGAGACACAGGTGGGCTCCTGCTTGGGCTCTGGCAGGATTGGCCAACCAAGTCCTATGGCCCTGGGCCACTGCAGTCAGAGATGAGTGGCAGGGACTAGGCTGAGAGGAGTATCCTGAAGCCAGGGTCCTAGAGAAAGAGAGGGACTCTGGGGCTGAGCAGGGCACGCTCCCCAGAGTCCTCTGATCAGAGAGATATGGCCAGAACCTTGGGCCCCTCAGGAGATGCCACGGGCCCTCAGCTCCATCCAAGGAGGGTGTGAGGCACCAGAGGGGACAGTGCCACCTCCTGCCAGAGGAATGCGAGCAAAGGCTGGGGTTTGTCCGAAGGACACTGAGGCTTCAGATAGGTGTGGATGCCTTTTGCCCTGAGACTCTGGGATGGGAGGGAGGGGCCCAGCCTCTGGCGGCAGAGCCACAGCTCCTCTCCTACCCCCACAACCCCGATCATTGACCACAAGGGCTCACGCAGCCTCAGAATTCATCTGACCCCACCCCGCACTAGACAGGATTGCTCTGGGCTCGCAGCCAGCCCCTGGAGCAGACATGGGTCTCGGTGCCCTCACATTCTTGGCTCCTTCCAAGCACGCTCTAGGGAAAGGCCTGGGCATGGGTTCCTGGCCTGGGGGCAATGTAGGTCCTGGAACCCTGGGTGTCAAAGCTGCAAGTGGCTGTCCAGGCACGTGGTAGACAAGAGCCCAGAGAGGACAAGTTAGCAGCCAGAGATGGCAGCCATGTGGAGGGGGGGCCCCCAGGGCTCCAGCCCCCCACCCTAGGCCGTTTCCCCTCCTTCTTGTGTCTGCCTGACTCCCCAGCAGCTCCCTCCTGACAGGGACCTCCCCTGCCCCCAGCCAAGACAAAATACCAGAGTATCATTTCATCGTTTATTATAAACAGAAGTTCGCAGGTAAATAATTGAGAGTCTAAAAAAATACGTTAAAATAAATAATAGGGATTCTCCAAGTTCTTGCAGCAAATAAGTTATGTACAGACAGGTGAGCAGAGCAGGCCCTTCTCACCAGGAATGGTCTCAGGGTTGAGGGTATGAAGACTCTGGGGGTGGAGAGCTGGAGAGGACAGACGGGGTGGCAGGGACACCAGTCCTGGGGGAGAGGGGATCCTGTCCAGCCTCCAGGGCTGGCTTGGCATGAGCATCCACCTGCTGCACAGCTGCTCCTGGTTTGTAGGCTGGCCGACAGGACACCCCTAGGAATGTGGACTCCAGGTTCACACACTCCTCACGAGGTTCCTTTAGCAGGGCTGCTGGGCCAGGAGGCAGTGCCAGGAGGCCTCTCTGCAGTCAAGGGCTGAAGGCTTTCCTGGGCAGTGTGAGGGAACAGAGCTGCCTGGAGGGAGCTTCCCTCACCAGTGCAAGGAGCCAGAGCTTGTGCCAATCCCAGCAAGTGAGTCCAGCTGGTCGGCACCAGGGTCCTGTCCCCAGGGAACAGGCAGAGGGTTTCCCACAAGCCCTGGGCTGCCTCTCCTTTTGTCTCCACATGGGCTTCCTTCCCAATGGTCCTCCAGCACCCAGCGCTATCTCTTCCTCCACCTGGGGTGTGTGAGCCTAGGCTCCCTTGCTGTCTTCTGGTGCTGCCTGGCAAGGTGGATCTTGGCTGCAGAAATGTCCCTGGGAATCGAGAAGGGTCAACTTAGCATCTCAGGAGCTAAGAACCATCCAAGAGTTCTCCAAGTAGGCCAGGGGTGATGGGGACTGGGACTCTCGCCCGACTTGGGATCATGGCTGCTCTGGGGTCAGAAGGTGGCCATGGCTGACCCAGCAAGCAGGGTCTGCATATAAGGGAGTCAGATCCGGCTTTGAAGCGTCCCTGGCAAAGCTGATGCTCAACAGCGTCAAATGCCACCAGAATGACTGGACGGCCAAGAACAGCCCAGTGTATCACCCATGATTTGCATCCTGCCTCCATACCATTGCTCATGCTGTTCCCTTCAGTTTATATACCTTTCCTCACACTCACACTCCACCTACTAAAATTCTACCTATTCTTCAAGGTCCAGCTCCAGGCTGCTCTTCCTGACTGGCCCGGACAGATGTGGGTCCAGGCTGTCCTTTGAATATGGCTGAGACCAGGTTCATTCATTCATTCACTCATTCAAGTGGCCACATCCTGGCTGAAAGAACTGGAGCCTGGGAGCCAGGAGGCTGGCTATGGGAACTTGGGGAGTATCTCAGCCTCTCAAAGCCCCGTCTCGGTCTGTAACATAAAGCAGGCCTGAACTGGTATGAGGGCCAGTGCAGGGGCAGCAAAGCGAGGTCTGCACACTGTGAAGTACTGTGCACTTGCAGAGTCTTATCCTGGTTATTTCCACCTAAGACAGTTCCTAAGTATATGCTGGGTCGTGTCCATCTCACCATCCTGCCTTTTCTTCTACTTTCCTGCCTCATCCCACAGATGGAAGCCCCTGAGGGCAGAGCTAGGCCTGGCACTCCCAGCCCTAGGAGCCATCAGCAGCAGAGGCAGGAAGGGCTGACACCTCCAGAGCTCCCACTAGGTGCCAGGCACCGCTTGACACGCCTCACAGGAGTCAACGCACTAAATCCTTACAACACCCCCCTGAGGCACTAACTCACGTCCCTGTTTCCAAAATAGAAAACTGAGGCACAGAGAAGTTAAGTGACACGTCCAAGGCCACAGAGCTTGTCTGTGGCAGGGCTGGGGTTCAGTCAGGCGGTTCTGGCTCCAGAGCCTGGGCCTGGAGCCTCTGCACTGAATTTTGGGCCAGATGCCAGTTGCTGTCCCCAAGTCAGTTCGATTGAGCAAACATTCATGGTATCTACTGTTCGCCACTTTGGACATGTTGTCAGGAGGGACCAGTTCCTGGAGAAGGACATCATGTTTGGTAGAGTAGAGGGTCAGCGAAAAAGAGGAAGACCCTCAACACGATGGATTGACACAGTGGCTGAACAATGGGCTCCAACAGCAATGATTGTGAGGATGGGGTGGGACTGGGCAGTGTTTCGTTCTGTTGTACATGGGGTTGCTGTGAGTTGGAACAGACTCGACAGCAGCTAACAAAAACATGTGCGCCAGGCCTCGAACTGAGGCATGCTGATGCCACCAGGGAAGAGATCCAGTCTGGGGCAGCAGGGAGGAGCAGGCTGATAAGTCGGTCCCTCTGGACCCCAGCATATGCGGGATGCTTGATTCAGACACAGCCTGAATGAACAGTGGTGAATTTCACAGTCCTGAACCCTCAAACACCCCCATCCTCTAAGAAAGTCCACTTCCAGGCCCAGTGGTAACCAAGAGCCTAGTGGTTAAGAGCACAGACTCTGGAGTCGGCCAGATGCCACTGACCACTGTGTGACCTTGGGCAAGGGGCTTCACCTCTCTGGGTCTCAGCTCTCTTGGCTGCTTAACGAGGACTCAATCCTGCCTCATGTAGAGGACCACGAGGAGAACAAAGGAAATGCACAAAGCGTACAGGAAGTGCTCAATCAGTGCAGAAGCCTCTCACCTCAGCTGCTGGAGGAACCCTCCTGCAGTAGCCCCATGTCTCGTCAGCCTGGAACGCTTTGGAATGGGACCTGCTGCCAGGGACCGCCACAGCATGAGCCCTGAATGAATGGCATTAGGGTCTGAGTGAGGGGCTGTTGGGGCCCTGCAGCACCTGGCTGCAGGCCCAGCCCCTACCCCACCCCACCTGCCCTCAGAAGCAGATCCATTTCCACCCCTGTGCACCTGGCATCTTTCCTTTCCCTCGAGGGGTGGGGACCAAGGAAAACTGAGCTACCAGGAATGTGTGCTTAGCCTTAGAAAGAGGCAGCTGGGTGGCCGGCCTTCCCAGAATCCGGCCACCTGCAGCAGAGCACAGCACTTTGGAGGGGAAACTGAGGCAAGGGTGGAGCCACAGCTTGAGCCCTTGAGGAAGAGTTTCTCGGAAACCATCATAGGAAATGGAGCTTGGGATTGTGAAGTCAGTTCCTGCTTTCCCCAAATGCTTCAAGTCTCCCTTCCCCTTTCACAGATGGGGAAACTGAGGCCCAGGCAGTTAAGGGATTTGGCAAAGGTGTGCAGCAACTCTGTAACACCCCTGGGATGGTGCAAGGGCTCCAAACTCCAGATGTCATTTCTCCCCTGAGCCTCAAGTCAGAATCCAAAGCCCAGTGGACTCATCAGACAGACTTCTGGTTAGCTGTGTGGCCTGACAGGACAAGTCCGTCCCCTCTCTGGGCCTGAGCTGCCTCAGCTATTACTGAGGGAGAGTTCCTCCTGCCCAGGAGTGAGGACATAAGTGCTCTCAGAAGTCCCCTTGCTGTGCAGTGGGAGAGACTCCGGTGACTGGTTCCCTGCAGAACGGGATGCTACCCACAGACCCAGGGCAGCCTATGGGGCCCTAGGGCCCTGCTCACCCGACCACCACTCTGCTCCTCTACTTAGTTTCCTGGACACCCTGCTGCCCAGGGCAGGTCCAAGCTAGCAGCCACCCCGGCCCCTGCAGGCTGGGTGCCCACCTACCAGGCCTTCGATGGCAGAAGGTGGCACAGGTGGAGTCCCTGGCGCTGGTGCACTCACAGCGCCTTGGCAGGGAGCGGCGCCGGCGTCTTGGCGGGTTTCCCAGGCCGTAAGGAGCTGTCTGTCTGTGGGCGTGCAGCCAGCAAGGTAGTGTGGGGTGGGGAGAGGAAGAGACAGAAAAAGAAAGAGAGAGGATTAGATAAACCACGACCATTTGTGAGCAGAACTGTCCACACTGCACACTGGGACAGCCACCTGTTCCCCCAGGGTGGCAGCGAATGGTCACCAGCCCCTTTCCTCCAAAAACCTTGTCACTGAAAGTCATAGGCTCCTCCACAGGTGCTGGGGAGCCCTGGACAAGGCCCCTCCACTCTCTGGGCCCCTGCCCCCAGGCTCAGCTCAGTATGCACTCCCAGCATGGAGAGGAAAGGGGGTGGGGACTGAGGAGTACCCCTAATCCCTGTCCCCTTCCAGAACGGAAGGTGAGCTGATGGAGCCAGGCTGGTCTCCCTGATCTCCAAGAATGCTTTCAGCTAGCCCTGGAGGAAGGGAGGAAACAGCCCATTTCACAGAAGTATGAGCTGCCCCCACTCCGTGACCCGCCTGTCTGGAGGGGTAGCAAATGTGCTGCAGGGCCCTAACTTTAAAGTGTTGCCTGTGTGCTGTTGCATGTGTGCATAATCAGGTGGGATTGATTTCAGATTCAAAGTCTGGCCAAAGTGGGCAGGGGGCAGGGTGGGGACCCCGGGCCACTGGATCAGCACCTTCCAGTCACAGAGCTAATTTTAGACGAAATAGTTGGAGTTGTAATGACTGGGAGGCAGACCTAGCACGCAGGGACTGGCAGGGTTCCCGCCCCGAGCGAGTGTTTGGATGCGGATTAGCTCCACACACGCTTATGTGCAGGGCTTCTCTTGCCTTCTGCAATTTGGAAAAGGAATTAAAAAAAAAAAAAAACCAACACAAACACACACAGAAACTTCAACTTCAGGTATGCAGTGGCCCAGAGGCAGCGCAGAGCCGCAGAAAAGACAGCGCTGGGCCCCAACCCATCTCCACCAGGTGACACAGGGTAGGCTTCTCATCTGTCATTTGGAGACAACAGCAGCGCCTACCTCATGGGGTAGCTGAGAAGCTCATTGCATGTGCAGTGCTTGGCAGAGGGCCTGGCACAACCAAGGCATGGGCACTGTCATCAGTCATATTATTCTTGGAAGACAGGGCGGAGGCAGCATGGCAGAGCAGGCATGAGCTCTGGCATCCAAGGATCCAGGATGGTGTCCCTGTCCTGCCCTATCACTTACTCCTTCCTCTGTGATCTTGGGGAAGGCACCTAACCTCTCCGGTCTGGAAAATGGGGCTGACCCTTTCTAGCCAGGCTATTGGGGGAATTCCCAGGAGACAGCCCCCACGTGGGAACTAAAACAATTGCTAACTATTGACATTAGCCCAATGCCCCCATCTGGAGGCCCAGGGAGAGCTCCACTCTGCCAGGGCTCCTGGCTTGTCAGCAGCCCCCAGCCCGGCCCCTTGCCTGTAGCAGCCCCGCCTGGCTCCCCACGGCAGCTCACCCTGGAGTGTTCACCCAGATGATGTCCAGGTGGCAGAAGTAGACACACTCCTTGTCGAGCCAGGAGCTGCAGGAGCACCGCCGAGGCCGAAGGTGGGCGCCCCAGGCACGGGCTGAGGGCGCAGGCTGCTCTGTGGCTGCAGCTGTCTGGCCCTTCCCTACACGCACAGGAGGGAGAGAGAAGCAGAGAGGTGGGTCAAGGTGCCTGGGATGGCCAGGGCAAGGGGACCTGCCGGGCCCCTCCTCTTGCATAATCGAAGTAGTTGGCACTGACGCTGTTCAGGAGTGCTGTGCCAGCCTGGGGAAGCCCCGAGAGCCCCGTGGGAAGGACCAGCCCTGCCCTGTTCTGCTGCGCCTCTGCACCGACAGAGCCCGGCGGCCACCACTGTGCTCCCGCCCCCTGCACCCCCAGCTGGCTTTGAGGCTCCGCAGCCCCAGGGGACATCTCAACGAACAACCCCAGGGGGCCGCAGTGGCTGGCGAGGCCAGGGCGGCTCACCTTCGTGCAGGGCCACAAGCAGGGCTAGAGCTACCGAGCACCAGGCAGTGGGCACGGCGACCATGGCGGTGGCTGAGCGAGCGCTGGCTGGATCGACCGGAGCAGGGAGAGCTTGTTGCCAGCGTCCTGCGGCTGAGCAAAGCTGAGCCCGTAGCTCTCTGCCTTGGTGCCCTGTGCTGCTGCTTATTATACCAGGCGGCCGCGCCACGCCCCGCCCCTGCCGGTCCAGCCCAGCCCCGCTGCACCGGTGGGCAGGGCGCCAGGGGCACCACCTCCTCCCTGGGCGCCTGGCCCACCCAGGCCTCTGAGGGAGGGGCTCGGGAGGGAGGGGGAATGCCTCTTTCCCACTCCCGGCTCCTTCCTCTGCGCCAGAAGAACTTTGGGGAGTCCTGAGGTTCACCTGCAGCCCCCAGGGGCCCCACACAGTCCCGCTGGCCTTCTGCTGGGCTTCCCAAGTCACCCCCAAAGTGCCCCAACCCCCCTCCGTAATTCTCCCTGGGACTGCTCAGAACTGAGAGTTTGGAAGGCAGAGGGCACCCCATGCACAAAATCCTCCCTGCTTCTCAGAGGAGACCCTGCCAAGTTGCCTCTCCCTCAACCAGGCTGAGGATGCCGCTTCCGTTGTGTGGGAGGAGAAAGGCCTGCTCAGAGCTGTGTGGCCTTGGGTGAGTCAGCGCCCTCTCTGGGCCTGCTGTCTTCAGTGAAGGACACCACTCAGGAGCCTGGAGCTGTCTCATCCCCAGCTCACCAAGGAACCGCCCTCCTCTCTCCCCTGCCCAGGCTTGGGGGCAGGAGTCCTGGACCCTTCCAGAAGCTGTTCAGCAGTGCAGCCATGGCCAAGGATGTCCCTCCTGGGCCTCAGTCTCCTTGTTTGCAAAATGAGGGCAAAATGGGGGATTCTTAAACTGTTTGGCTCATACATTCCCTTGAGACTAAGAAGGTTGCTTCAGAGCTCTTTCCAGAAGATACCCCCATGGGCACACACACAAAATGCCCCTTGAGTGGTCTCCCGACTTGGACACTTGGACATGGCAGGATGTCTTGGTTCACCTCAGAGACTACTTTCTGTAAAAAAGGTGTGTGTTGGGGGGTACTCCCTGGGGCTGGCATTCTGTTCCTGCTCCTCCCTTCCAGATGGCCCAGAAGCCAGGCATCGCTGGGGACAAGAGCTGGGCCATCTGGAAGGCCAGCTGCCCTGTGTTCCTGCCAGGCCTGGCTCAGAGTGCACCTCCTGCCCAGCCTCTTCTCGGGAACCCTATCTTCAGCCACAACAGGAAAGGCTCTCTCATTCCTCAGAATTCCCAGAGCCTGGCTCTCATGCCTGCCTGAGTCATGACGTTCTGGCTTATCTGCCCCAGCATCGGAGGACAGAACTCTGGGGCTGCAGGGCCCGGGGCCTCACACTCAAGCCTGCCTGGCACACAGTAAGAGCCTAGGAGTGTTCTCTGAGGGAGGGAAGGATGAATGAACAAATGCTTGGCTTTGAACTCTGGACGTTAGGTCCTTGGGAACCCAGGCTGCCCATTTTAGTTTCTGTATTCAGCATTCAGCAGCTCTTTGGTTGCTCTATTAGATATTTATGAGGGGAGAATAGACGACCACAAACAGGCAGTCTTGCATCTGCCTAGAGTGTGTCCAGAGTATGCATGCGTGTGTGTGGGTGCATGTGCACCCATGTGCACACGTGTGTGTGGTGTGTGTGTACGCACATATCTGTGTGAGATCCTGGTAAAGCCGAACAAAACTGAGGGAAGGAGATACCTGTCAGCGTTGTCTTCCTTCCCCAGCCTGGGCCAGGCTGAAGGGGAAGCAGGAACCAACATTTCCTGAACACCTACTATGTGTGTGCTCAGGGCACTTACAGTTCCCCCTCCCTGCAAAGCTATGAGGCAGCTGTTGTCATCTGGGTATCCACTATTGCCAGAGGAGAAACACAGGCTCAGAGAGCAGAGCCTTGGCCGAGCTCAGAGTCGGCATTAGAACCTAGATCTTGGTGTCTCCAGCACACCCCGAGTGACTCCCCCTGCAGTGCTCAGTGCCCTCCCCACATCGTGCCTCTCTAAGAATTTACAAGAGCATTTCTGGAATGAGGTGAGCAATACTCCTTGTCCTTTCTGTTAGCCTCAGAGAGCATATAAATACAGAATAAGCTGGGCTGGGGTGGTGGAGGGGGTGGTAGATAGAGAATTCAGACTACTGAACTGTGAAGAGAAGAAAGAAGAGAAAGCAAGTCAGCTGAGAGAAGGAGGGGGTCAGGGTGGGGAAGAAAACAAACAGAGAGGCAGATAAACACAGGTAGGGAGAGAAAGCGAGAACAAGGAAGCAGCGCGTAGCCTAGCGAGGAAGAAATAACTTGGATTTCAGAAAGTAAAAGAGAAAGCCCAGAGGGAGTCAGAGCAAAGGTTCTAATGTGTCTAATCGTTACACGAATGCAGAATGCCTGCTCAGGACAATAGGGAACTAGAGGCTTCAGTCTGGGAAACATAATAGAAGAATTAAACAGACCTGGGGACAGGCTCCCTCCCTGGTGTGAAAGCAGGATGACGACAGGGCAGGGCCCACTGCTGGCTCTCAGGCTCAGGTGGGGAGCTGCAAGCTGGCCCGGCTCCAGTTTCCTTCTCTCCTGCCCTGGGCTTGGGCTGGGCATGCAGGGCTCCCGTGAAATGGAGAGGCCTGACCCAGGAACCTGAGTGAGCCCAGGTCTTAGGGGATGAAATCATTCCGGGAACAGTGCTACTCTACTGGCTAGAGTTGGTTTCCAGGTAGAGAAAATTAAGGTGAGCTAAAAATCGCTGGGCCCGAACCCCTCCTCCTCCCCAGCTCTCGCAGCCTGCACTGTCCTCTGGCCTGACAAGTACTCCTGCCCTTTCTGGCTGGCCTGGCTGCACTGCCCCTGTCTGCATTGCTCTGACCCCCATCAACTGCCCCACCAGCTGCCCTGCTGCACCCCCAACCCCAACCTGGCCTTGCTACCAGCCTGGGTTTGTAAAGGTTGCAGGGAGAGGGGCAGAGATTCATGAAGATGAATGCACCCTGTTAGAATTTGGAAGGAATCGTTTTACTCACAAAATAATTTGCTCCCCCAATGCTTGGTGGAATCCCTGAGTGGTGAAAATGGTCAATATACTCAGCTGCTAACTGAAAGTTTGGAGGTTGGCCCCCACCCAGAGGCATCTTGGAAGAAAGGTCTGGCGATCTACTTTCGAAAGATCAGCCATTGAAAACCTTATGGAGCACAGTTCTACTCTGACACACGTGGGTCGCCATGAGTTGGAGTTGACTTGACGGCAACTGTTATTTTTTAATGCTTAGTACCAGCCCAATCCAAGAAGGAGAGATTTGGGTGGAGGCAAGGCTAGTAGAAGAGGGCAGTTTAGGTGTATTTCTGGATGATATGCTGTGCTAGAAGCTGCTAGTTTAGAAATCCTTTCTAATCTTACTCCCATTTGGTAGATAACAGAGGTCCCAAGAGGAGGGCAACTTGCACAAAAACAAAACATTGATGGGACTGGGTGTGTGCTCTTGGCTAATAACCCAGCCTCGCTCTTTCTCACACTCCAGGGAAACTCTCCCAGGGGTACAGGCTGAGCCTGATGTCCTGGGTCCCTTTGGGAAGGGCTGTCAGGAAGGATCCCACCTGCAGGCAGGTTGGGCACTGGGACAGGGCTAGGCCATCTCCCTGCATACGATACAAGCCCCTCTATAATCCTTGCACTAAGAGTCAATCAGGTACCATTGAGCAGCTGTCCAGCAGTGGTGTACGCTGCCCAGGATGGAGGATGCATAGGAGGAGGGCTAAATGTCCTGGCGATACTGTCCAACAGGGCAGGGATGGGTTGGGGCAGGTGCCTGGTGTCCCAGTCAAGGCCCTGGACCAGGAGGCCTTGTCCCAGCTTTTCTGTTTATGCTGTGTGGTCTTTGGTAAGTCTCATCCCTTCCCTGGCCTCAGTTTCCCTGCCTTCCCATTGACAGTGCAGGGCCCTCTCAGCTCTGACAGCCTATGACATTCAGAATTAACTTGACCTGAGTTCAAAACTCCCCAAATGTCAGCCCTGCAGACTCTGTGGCTGCATAATTCTTGCTTCCAGCTCGGGTCCCTTTGTTCTCTCACCTCTGGACGAGTAGTCATTCCCTAGTTCTGTTTGCAGCCCCAGTAGAAGGGACACGGCATCTTGGCTGCAGGCACACACTGTACAGGCGGCTTAGCCAAATGAGCAGCTGGGAAGAGGGGCTCGCCAGGGGAGATGCCCAGAGCCTGCAGGGAAGGGGGTGCTGGGGAAGCCTTAGCCCTGAAGCTGGCCTGGGCTGGGGGTTTAGGGACTTGAGGGGGTTCAGACATTCCTGTCACCACTTGTCCCTGAGGGTATAGGTTGGGGCTGCCCCCACTCGGGCCTGGGCCACTCAGCCTCAGGGCCTCTTTCTAGTGGGTGGTCTGGGCCTCCTGCCATAGGCCACAGCTCACTCTGAGCCAGCAGGGCCTGCCACTGCCCACACCATTGTCCCCACGCTGGGTCTCCACAAGGGCAGCCTCAGCCCTGTGGGACCAGCTCCCCTGGTCTTCATGGCTTCCCTTGGAGGACACCCCCTTGTTAGTTCTCCTCCCTCCACCTCAGCCCATTTGGAAAGATTTATATCTCCCACATAAACTGTACTTTCAAAAGAATAATTCATGTACCCTGTTTGTTATTAATCTAAGGGTAATTAGAACAGGGGCAGCGAGGCCCACGGAACTGCTGGAATTTCAGCTGAAAGCAGATATTGTTCTGTCAGGGTACCCTTGTCAAGAAGCCTTGTGAGTCCTGCTGGACTTTTTGAAATAAGAAAACCAGCTCAGAGACTCAGCGTGCCAGCATGGAAATCTTTGGACTCAAAATTTTTGAGCCATCCTCAAAGTGTTAGGGCCCGATTCCCCACTTAGCCTTTTTGGGGTGTGGGATAAACAAGCATTTACTGAGCACGTAATATATTCTAAGCACTGTGCTAAGTGATTTACATACATTATCTCAGTCAACTGTCACAACACACCTATGAGGTAGATACTGTAATCAGTCCCCATTTTAGAAATGAGGAAGCAGAGGCTTAGAGAGGGTAAGTCACTTGGCCAGTGTCAGACAGCTAGAAAGTGGCAGAGCCAAGATCAGAAAGCAGATC